TATATATATATATATATATATATATATATATATATATATATATATATATATATATTTATAGTCCCATGATTTATCCTGTCGGTTTGGGAATACGAATCAATATATAAATGGACACAAGAAGCAATATGTAAATGGACAAACATGTTCACATCTCTATCATCTCTTATGAGAAAAAAATGATCGGGATGTTCCTATCTTTTTCTGGTGTTCTTTTTTTTATAAAATAAAAAAATAATAAATGTACATAATCTTATTGCACTGTGAAGAAAAGCATCTCCCTTATGAGAAGAATCTTACTAAAAAAAAAAGGACCTATATGCGGTTTCATTAATATGAGGTCCACCATTTAATTAGTCTTGCGATCATTTGTCTCTCCCTTAATTTATCATCCAAAAAGGAATTTTTCCTGCTTTCCTACATACGTGAGGCACTTCGAATAACACGACTAATAGTTCACATGACAGAATAACGAGTGCATCTCAATTGGACTCTAATAACAGTTAAAAAGATGACATTTATTGTCGGAAGAAATTTGTGAACAAAGTAGATTCTGCATAGGGAAGTAATTTTTATTTACTGCTGCAGTAGCAAACTAAAGAGGAACATATTACTAAATATCAACATTTTTGGAGTGTCATAATTGCTTAATATCAACAATTTCAACACTGCTGATGCATTTAACTAACCTCTACTTGATTATCAACTTACTTCTTGTCATCACCTCCGAACTGTGTGGAGTTTCCATTCCAAAACATGTTCTTGTCGCCAGATGGATCATCATCATGCCTCAGAGTGTGGATATTACTGCCAAATTGTCTCGATGGGCTTGGCCTTACCCCGCCACTGGTATTATGAGAATCAGTGTTTTGGTTACTTTGGTCACTTGAAGAAGATAAGCGTCGAGGTGCTCCTGATAAATGATTCTGAATAGCAGCAGGATTAGGACCTACAAAGAAGAGACAAGTGGATTAAGTCTAAAAGTTGCATTATCAGATCAATGGAAAACTACATCATTTTCTACTGTATAATAGACCTATAATTAAAAATAAATGCAATGACAACTAGCAGTAGGGGGGTGTCAACAATACGGATCGCATTAAAAAAATGCATAACTTTGAAATCAGTTGCATAGAAAGAATGCCAAATAAATAACATCTAAAACAGAGTTCAGATAATTTAAGAATACAGCAAATGTCAGTGTGAAAGGGCATTGAGGAGTGAGAGAACTCACGATACTGCCATAAGCCATCACTTTCTGTTGTTTCAGAATTTGCTGAGCTAGAATTTCCACCAAGATAGGATAATGGATTCACGTATGATAAGATCCTTTTAACATAATCAAAATATCCTCCCGTGTTCTCACTTGAAACAGTCCTAGTCACACCATTCTGACTGTCATTTGATGATGATTGACCCCTGGGAGCTCTGGTGCCTTGACGATGTGGAACAACTATTAATGCCTCCCGGCTAGCAAAGCCAAGTTCGGACAATGTTCTCGTCATGTCTGCATAAACATTCATGCATAAACATTTGACTTAAGAAAGATTTAAATCTCTTGATCCATATCCAAATAAAACAGACAGCAAGAAGGTGAACCATATGCAGAATAAAACCTCAAGAAACAAGAAAGGGAAAACAGATACCAATTATGATGAGGACATATACAGTAATAACCACAGAATTTTAGCAAGGTGGTTAAAACAAGGCATCCTATGGATGTACAAAACCTTGTGTGTGCTGTAGCATGGGGAAGGCATGGAAATGATACCATAATTCGCCAACTCATGAGTAGATTAGCATTAATCTTATAATCAGCATAAGATGATCACTTTTTGATGTCCTCTATCAGAATATCACCTTCCAAAATGCCAAAAGCTTTAACAGCAAAATATGGAGCAAATATTATGCAAGTAACAAAAAAAGTATATCAAGAATAATCCAAAATAACTGGAAAAACTGGTTTTCTTGGAAATTCATATCGCAAGGGCCATTGTGACCTAGGCTTCCAAGCAACATTCAAAATTGTGCCAACCAGAACCTTCAAAGGATGAAAAAGAAATATAGGACATTTTGACATTCATAAAGTGGATTGATGAAACATGAAGGCCCTTATAGAGACTCAAGACTGCTTAAAGTTGCAACTGTTGAAACTTCAGCAGTCAAATAGAATGAAAAGATAGTAGTTACATAAAATTGGACTATTGGAGGGATAGTAGAAATTAGTAAATTACTGTGCCTCCATTTCTACTATTATGCTACCAATGACAAGCTTTTAACCTTTAGCATCCAGCCAACCACTTTTGCCCCTCTGAACTTCAACTTTATTCATCAATGATAGATTATTCATGAATGATAGATGTCCTACTACAATGAAAACATCAACTTTCTCTCTAAAGAGGAGTTAAGACGAAAAAAGAAAAGTATCCATCTATAAGCCACTCATCCTGATTAACAAGAAGCAAATCATAAAGTTGGTCCAACCAACCAGCAACAGCATGGAGGGTTCAAACTTGATCGTTAACAAGACTCAACATGTTTAGCAAAAATAAGTAGAAGGTCAAATATCAACGCAACTTCAAAGAGTTGAATACCTTCATCATTGAACAACTTTCTTGGATAAGGAACAGCCAGATTATATGAACCTACCATAGTATCCAGGTTCTCATCCACAAAGATTTTCACAGACCTCAAAGTATCGGCTAAAGTAAGTTTTGTCTGAAGACTGGTCCCATTTGGTATACGTATATTCAGATGCACATCTTTCGACTTTACAGCATCTGAAAAGCCACTTGATCCATCAACCTTCTTAGCTGGAGGAGTTTCCTCTTCTGCTTCAGTAGTTATCTCAGAAGGTATTGGACCACATCTGGCCGACCTCGTGTCTGGCTCTGACTTAGTTGCAGCCTGGGTCATATCCATAGTTGAACATTCGACAGGGACATTGGAGTTAGCTGCATAACTGTAAGTTTCAGAATTCACATCACTGAGGATAGAAAGTGCTTCTTCAGCAATATTCCTGCTTGAACTTGAACCATCTATGCTTCCAATCTTCACATCATTAGGAGTATCCATTTGAGAACAAGTTTCTTCACCAAGCAGATTATCTTTCTGAAACACACAAATGACAAGTTAGAACTTCATGCAACACAAGGCAATAACATCACACTAATGCAAAAGATAAATAAAATTTACTTGACTATTTGATTCACCAAGCCTCTCATCCTCCAACTGCTGAGAATCAGTTAATGGTCTGGGTTCTGAATCTTGACTAGATTTATCAGCTGAAGTTGATGGAACATTTAAATCAGAAGAGACTACTTGCTCAGATGAAACAGCATTAGGACTAGAATTTAGAGGTTCAGGCTCTTTTGAAGCAAGTGCAGCCGTCAAAAGTGTCAGAGCTGCTTCCTGCAATCATTCAATGATTTAATGCCGTGACTTTCGCATGTTATCTTAACAAAAATAGATTAAAATGTATCTAGCAGCAGATAGGAAAATGAGCATGTGTAGTAGAAAACCTGCATATGGAGTGCTGCCCAAGCCTTGTCAATATTCTCTATAAGATTTTCAATAGTAATGTAACCATCTGAAAAATTAAAATACGAGACAAGCAAGCATTAGAATTAGTCACAGCATAAATTACTGTGTTGTCTCCTAAAAAAACCCAACTAAATATTCATACCATAATGCCATAGCATAACACCGTTAAGTCCAATGGCGCAGATGCTTGGTGTTGATTTCTGAGGATCTGAAAAAGGTTAAGCAAAATAGCACAAAGGTAGTCTGGATGTACAATGCTACACCACTGTCACGAACGGTCGTCGCACACCCGCAACAACTCCGTTCAACGAACCATTCGTCGCTCTAATCTACATGTATAGCTGCTTGGCAGCATGTTTTGGCTTGGTTTTAGGTCCTTTTGCTTGTAAAAATGTAAGTTCGAACAAGTTGCAGCGCTACAGTGCGACCGCTCACCGAACCGAGCAAAACAACCCCAAAACAGCTCCATTTTCACGTGCCACGGGCTGATTTCTGCAGCCCGCTGCTGCACGCAAAACGTCAGCCATCTCAACACCCTAGAACCACTCGGGTGGCACAGGACTGGATGGGGCTTTGGTATAGTATCGACCGTTGAACACTCTTTCGCAAGTTCGCACGTTACCTTGACAGGAACTTGTTGTCGCGCCCGGCACCTGATGAGCAGCTGTTTGTGGACTTGCAGCTGTTCATTCAACCTTCTAAAGTCCTTGTTTTCCCCCTCTCCCTCTTTTCTCTTGTGCACGCAAGGTGCTCGCTGAATTGCTTATAAAGCTTCCCCTTTTTGCGAGACATCGGGACTTGTCCGTCGCTCGTTCTTCGAACTAATCAACTTTCTCTTTTTACAGGTCCTTCGGGACCTGCAAGAGGTTGCAAGTGGGCTAACCTTTGCGAATGCAAATCGCAAGGGCAAAGCGTGACTTAGGCAACGCAAGCTAAGTTCGCGTCTTTGCTGCAAGGGTTCCTCATGACTTAGGCAATGCAAGCTAAGTTCACGTCTTTGCCGCAAGAGTCCCTCACGCCTTAGGCAATTCCAGCTAAGGCCGTGACACTGTGGTATCAGAGCTAGGTTTCAGGGCCTTGCCTTTCGGGCTTGGCCCTTTGTGAGAACTCCTCTTCTTTTGTTCGCCCCTGAGCTCCTTCCCTCGAGAAAATTTTGGAGGGCGATTGCTTGAAGATTGTTTCTTTCTTCCCGGGTCTTCAGAGGAAACGAAGTCGGTGAGCCTTTCTGCTGCAGCAATTGCCCCGATCAAATCGGCGACATTCCTTCGATGTAGTTCTTGTTGCGCCCATGGCTTCAAACCATCGAGAAAGCTGAACAACTTATCCTTCTCAAACATGTCCTGGATGTCCAGCATTAGCGCAGAAAATTACTTCACGTAGTCTCGGATGAAAGCATTTCGACAGAGTTGTCTCAATTTCCTTCTTGAGAGGAACTCGGTGTTCTCCGGTAGGAACTGAGTTCTCAACTCTCGCTTCAAGTCCTCCCATGTGTCAACTCGATACCGACCTTGTTGAATCTCCTTTCAACGGGTTCGCCACCAAAGTTTTGCATCTCCGTTTAGATACATGGTCGCTATAGAAACTTTGGTTTCTTCAAAATCAGGCCTCGTAGCTCGGAAGTATTGTTCCATATCGAACAGGAAATTCTCGAGCTCTTTTGCATCTCTGGCCCCTCCATAACCATGAGGCTCAGGTGCCCTCAAGATTTATGACGGCGCAACGCGGGTGTTGCTTCCTCCCACATTTAGTGCCCTTGTGAGCATGGACACCCTCGAAGTGAGTTCCGCCACAACTTCAACCAAGTGTTGCACGGAGTGTTTGGTGTCATCTGACAATCGGTCAACTAGGGCCTCAACCTTGTCAATCCTGGACTCCGCTTCTTCTTGCGAGCTCTCTACCCCAACAAGCCTTCGTTGGCCATGGTAGAGTTCCTCTAAGCTCGCTTCGAGAACATCCAAGCAGGTTTCCGCCGTTGTGAGTCTCTCCTTATGACTCTTTTTCTCGATTGGCGCTCTAGACTGTGCCTTCTCCGCTCGCGAAGAGTAGCCAACTTCTCGCTCATCATGTTCGTTGTCGCGCTCCTCCTGAGCGGCTCCAACAACATGCGAGCGAATGTGCACTTGCAGCCCACCTGCGGCTGCTTGGGGCAAGGGTCCGGCTTGCCCCGTCTTGCTTGATTCGCCACGATGCTTTGCCATGGCGAAGTTCCATCGTTGCTCGCTCAAAGTGCTTGCCCGCTCTGATACCACAATGTCACGGCCTTAGCTGGAATTGCCTAAGGCATGAGGCACCCTTGCGGCAAAGACGCGAACTTAGCTTGCGTTGCCTAAGTCGCACTTCGCCCTTACGATTTGCATCCGCAAAGATCAGCCCACTTGCAATCTCTTGCAAGTCCCGAAGGACCTGTAAAAAGAGAAAGTCGATTAGTTCGAAGAACGAGCGACGGACAAGTCCCGACGTCTCGCGAAAAGGGGAAGCTTTACAAGCAATTCAACGAGCACCTTGCGTGCACAAGAGAAAAGAGGGAGAGGGGAAAAACAAGGACTTTAGAAGGTTGATGAATAGCCGCAAGTCCACAAACAGCTGCTCACCGGGTGTCGGGAGTTGAACACTCTTTCGCAAGTTCGCACGTTACCTTGACGGG